CTGCCAAATAGTATATCATTTGATTGTGACCCATACTTCACAGCTAAGGTTTGTGTGAACAGTTAAACATCACTTGGAAGCTTTATGATTTACAGAAACAACAGCTAGCTAAGCTATGCCAGGAGGGTCACCTGTCTTCACCGCAAACTTTGCCACTCAAGTTGTTAGGGCTTCACATTGCACCTTGAAAGCGAATAGGCTTGAGCCTCTTTGAGGCCCTTTTTGGACAACCACTTCCCTCCCTAAAGGCAGAGGAGAGGTCCATCCCATTGGTGGGTGAACTGACCTTGTACCAATAAGTAAGACAACTCGTTGGGGTTATGAATTTTCTTTCCCATTATCTGCAGGCAAATCAATACCCTGGACTAGATCATCCAGTGCATCCGTTTCAGCCTGCAGACTGGATGCTTGTAACAACAACCTCCTTGGATCAGCAGTGGAAGGGACTATTTCAAATGCTTCAGACCACCCATACAGCACTAAAAGTGGAAGGCCTGGCATCTTGGATAGATCACTTCCAGAGTGAAGAAATACCCACGATCTGCCCTTCGTGATTCTTGGACTGCGCAGCTTGTGATTTCCTCAGTAGCAGAACTGGGACTTAGGTTATTGTTCTGGAATCAAAAGCCTCCAGAACCATAGTTGTGTGAGAGGAGAACTGTGATCTCCCATAGGTGTTTTCTCAATTAGAAAATTTCCCCAAAAGGTATTCGTAGCTACCCACACTAGAATTAGGAGAGTTATCCAATTATTACCACTATCCGATTGTGTGTGTGTGTGTGAAGGCTAAGATATTAAGACAAATAGACTTAACAACTGTTGGGATGTGACCATATGATTTGTTATGTATCTGTGTTCTTCACACCCACCTATATTATTCCCACTTTACCTGAAAGAAAGATTGGAAACCATAGGAATCTTGAACGATTCAGAAAGTACCTGAAGAATACCAACCCCTTACTTTGTTCCGTGGGCTCTAGTCCCTCAATAATGCTTTGTATCATATACAAGCAGTGGAAGAAATCCTAGCTAATGAGACTGGGGAGTTTTTTATTGGTGCAGCAAAAGAACAAGAAGCCATTCGGACAACGACAACTCAGAGTAGAATGGCTCTAGATATGATATTGGCATCCTAAGAAGATGTGTATGCACTACTTGGACAGCAATGCTGTGTGCATATTCTGGACAAATCGGAGGAATTCCACAGCTGAACTACACA